TCTTAGTTACCCTCAGGAGTACATGTACTGTGAGATGACTGCTGAAGCTCTGTATCTTTGGGAAATCTCGTGTTTTATTAGTTACTGTAGGCGAGCGGCTCTCTCGTGCTGTTGTCAATCAGCCGAAAAGAAAGAATGAAAGAAAACCGAGCCGCCTTCTCCTTGTCGATTTCTGTCATCACTGCTGAAGCTCTGCCCACCTACGCTCCACCTTAACTATGTGAAAAGCTTGGATTATTATGACTCATCTTTTTCGCCGACATCCGCATGAACCGAGAGAGATTTTGATGAAAACACAAAGCTTTGCGTGGGTCATACTTCATTCATCGCAATTTCACTGATGCAGGTACAAAAAGGAAGCGCTAACAGCGTTTCCTTCTGACCTGCTTTGTTCCCTGAAACAACAAAAGCTGCATTAACTGTGGATAATCTACGTATGTTGTGTACTCACAGCCTTATAGCCACAGGCGGCGTGAGCCGACATGGCCGTCTCTGAGCCCGTCGACCAAACTCTCCGTAGAGAAGTTTGAATCGCCACTTACATGATGTCACTTTATCCGTGCGATTAGTTCTTGCTGCACTTTTTTTTCCTTTGTGTATGTGTGAGTTTGTTCGATCATCCAACCCACACGTGGACACCTGACACTGTGGCCCACATGCGCTCAGCGGGGCCAGACAACCTTGGAGCCACGCTGTGTTTATCCTCCACACCAGCCTGGCGTGGTTAAAAGCTGTTTGCAGAGCAGATTCTGCTCGCCGTCTTTCTTTATTCATGAAAACTCAGAACTTCATCATTTATTCACTGATGACAAATGCAAATGAGAAGCATCTTTATGTAACTGAACTACTGTATAATGTATGGCTTCTCGTCCCTCGTGGCTGCGCTGACTGCGTGTTCTTTCTCCTTTTTTCTTGCATCACCTTTTTGTCTGCTCGGATTATGTAAAAAAAAAAAAGTGTTATATTGATGCCCACAGGGAAAAAACACTTACAAAAGTGGCTTTATTTCAGAAGGTAAACAAACCAGAGAAATATATGTACACCCACAGCAAAAAGGGGCAAGCGCTGCTCCCAAAAAAACAGAAAAATTAACAACTCGCGCTGTGGAGCTCCAGCTTTACCTGTTTATTACTAAAAAGTGATATTCACAGCACATCTGTGAGCTTTTTTTTTCCCTCTTTTTAACAGCCAGTTCTTTTCTTACAAATAAGGAATATTTTATTTCTTTCTGGAATATTACATAACTGCTTAAGTGGCATACGGCGCATGTGCAGAAGACGTTGTAAAGTGAGTACTGACTTTGGTGGATCCGCTGCGCTCTCTCATTTCCTTTCAGCTACATTTAAAACATTATTTTGACTACCAAGTATTTCTCATCTCTTTCTTTCAGGGGAAGGATCTTTTAACTCAGAAGATCCCACTGTGGCAGCAGGCTTGTGCCGAGCCCAACAAACTGCCAGACCGTGCCATGTTTCTGGCCCAGCAGATGAGCGGTGCAACGGGCACCATGCCTCCTGGTGCTCATCACCCCGGCCTTCCCATCTCTGAGCCTATTCCTGGTGCTAAACCCCTGCCAGTGCCTCCAGAGCTGGCAGCCCTCAGGGCCAGCGGTGGCATGGGACAGCAGGTGAGTTCTTCTTCTGGCCTGATTTAGTTTGCCAAACACCGGTACACCCGTGTGCTTTGTTTCTTCACGCTCACTTACGTGTTAGAAATAAACATCTGTTACTATTGTGTTCCCGTGAGCTCGCTGTGGGTTTGTTGTGATAGAGAGGACTCAGGATTCAAGCTTAGACTCTACAATGTACAACAGACTGTATGTAAAAGATGGGTGTAGCCACCGTGATGTCACTGGTTAGTGAATTTCCATGAAGTCTTGTGCTGTTTTCACTGTTTCTAGCCATTTGAAACAGCACAGTTCAAAGAGTCGCCCCCTGCAGGCAGTTAGAAAAAATGCACCCAGAAGCTACGTCAGTCTTTTTTAAAGAGTTTTAGGTTTTGGACACTTTGTAACTCTTGAGGTTTGAGAATGAGAAGCCCAGCCAAGCGGTCAACTGCATCGAGGAATCCCTCAACACATCCTCACAAAATCTGGGTCAAGGGAAATGAAATCATTTGGTCCTTATATCCTCAGGCCCCCTTCCTTCTCCTCCTGCAGGCTCAAAAATGAACACAGACTTTCAAGATTCAAAGACTTCATCATTTTAATTATGGTGGTGCAGATTAGTAGAGTTTTATAACGGCAGACTAAATATACTTTGAAATTCTTTTCGCCGTCTCCCAGCTACTCCTTAAGCTTCTCTTCAAATCAGCGTGAAGTCAAATAGTGTTTTCACTAATCACAATTTCATGACCCAGATCTGCTCTCCTCCTTCATTATCGCTAATGAGCTTCGAGATGTTGCGTAACGGCCTTTTGTGACGTAACGAGAAAAAAACTTTTGCATTTTAATTGCCTGCGTGCAGAGGCTGATGGGAGGCGTGGAAGGAGGGATGCCTGTGATGAACGGTACGGCCGGCGTTCATGGAGGAGAAGACTACCAGCAGTGGATGGAGGGCAAAATCGCCCAGGGCAAAGCCTCACCGCAGACTCAGCGGCACGGAGGCGAGGTGTACTCCAACACCCTACCTGTGCGCAAGGCCGCCCCAGCCAAGAGCAAGACCACACTGAGTAAGGACACACACAATGTATTTTAAAATTAAGAAAGGCTCAAAAGACTATATGTAATATAAAAGTGGCAGACACTTTCTCCAGTCCTGCATGGCTGTTTTAGTTTAGAGAACATTTGCAGTTTGCTTCAGTCTTATCAGCCTTATTTCAGCCCCGGCTCTAGCAGCTCTTTTCACAAAGAAAGCTCCACAGTGTCTCTCTGCACAGCAATAAACAGCAAAGTGACGACGAGACTTGGCTTCAAGAAGAAAGGAACCTCTAGCAGTCAAATATAAAGCGTCAGATATAGGTGAAAACACAAAAGAGCAAAGTCTCAGGAAAAAACCAACATAATTACAGCAGTAATATTCAAGAGGAGAGAAAACGGCACTCCAAATAAACGGTTCTCCTTGTTTCCGACAGCTGCATATATGAAAAGAGCATCGTTTGCTTGGCATAAGAATATTGCGAGCCAGTGTTATTTCAGGGCGCTGAGTTTGCCAGCTTGTTGTGGAGTTGTTCTGCTGTTTAGTGGCAAAATGAAAATATCTCGAAAAGCAAATTTAACTTGGCATTCAGCGTGCTTTTAATCACAGTGAATGTACTGGAAAGTGTATTTCCAGAACAGAATTACTGCATCTCAGATATAGAAAAAGCTAATGAGATGACCCGGCTGCCACACACATGCTCGGTGCGTTTTAATAAGAAAGAGGCCAAAGCAAGTGGGAATAGAAGGAGATGTGATAATAAAACCAAAGTAAGACGGTACATTTCTGAGTAAAAATAGATTCAGAGGAGAATATTTCACAAAAATATGAACAATATAAAAATCTACATTGAATAAAATCCCTGTAGACATTCTGTATGTTTCAAGCATCGTTAAGGGTTTGTAGCAAAAACTGAAGTTTATGGCGGTGTGATAACAACTCTCTTCCTCCTCCTCCTCCTCCTCTCCACAGCAGAGACCCGCACGCTGCCCCGGTCCAGCTCCATGGCAGCAGGTCTGGAGAGAAACGGAAGAACTCGCGTCCAGGCCGTCTTCTCCCATGCTGCCGGTGACAACAGCACGCTGCTTAGCTTCGCTGAGGGCGACGTGATCACCCTGCTGGTACCCGAGGCCCGTGATGGCTGGCACTACGGAGAGAATGAGAAGACAAGGATGTGAGTGCAAAATGAAATGCAGCAAAAAAAGCGACAAATGCAGTTCTGTCAGGATCACTGTCAAAGCTGAATCGTTATTTCCACCTGCAGTGATTTATATTCTGCCCGCTTGGAGAGAGGAGTGACAGACTAGAGGAATCTGCGACAAACAGACAAAATGTTAAATAAGTCAGAAATGGCATGATTAGCATGAAGTGGAGGAGCTGGGGCGAAGAAGGGTTGCAAAGTGGGTTGCAGAGGCAACCTGCAGACTGTAGGTGAACAGGTCAGCCAATGCTGTGCATTTGATTTTTGTGTTGTTTATATTTGTCCTCCTTCTGCAGGCGTGGCTGGTTTCCCTTCTCCTACACACGGGTGATCACTGATGGCGAAGGAGACTCTATGCGGCAACTTCGAGTACACAAGTGGGTGTTTGCACTTTGCAGACTTCATTGTTTTGAATGCATAATCAAACTGAATGTTATTAAGTTAAATATTAATATTATTCACAGAAACTTCATGATTTTGTTGGTTAACCAGATCTCCTTTACCAGTAGAGTTGGGGTTTTTACATAAATATTAATGTTAGATGTTACTCCTTACTCGGGCAGCGGGGTGGAGCTGCGTTGTATTTCAGCAATGATGTAATTGTGCTGACGTACAGTGCTTGTGAGTCCATCAAATGCGCTGAAGCGTTTTTCAGAAGCATTCAAGAAACGGCTGTCTGTTCTGTGTGGCACAATTCAATTCAATTCAATTTTATTTATATAGCGCCAAATCACAACAAAAGTCGCCTCAAGGTTCTTCATAGATACAGGGAAAAACCCAACAATCATATGACCCCCTATGAGCAGCACTTTGGCGACAGTGGGAAGGAAAAACTCCCTTTTAACAGGAAGAAACCTCCAGCAGAACCAGGCTCAGGGAGGGGCGGGGCCATCTGCTGTGATTGGTTGGGGTGAGAGAAGGAAGACAGGATAAAGACATGCTGTGGAAGAGAGACAGAGTTTAATAACAGCACAAAATGCACAGTGAGTGTATTTTGGCCAAAGTCATGTCAAACTGCACAGAGCAGATGAAATGGGCAGGAAAAGCATTAGGAAGCTGATCAATTTTCAAAATAAAAGACCCTGGCTAAAATCTTCTGAAACGCTTTGGTTGTGATTTGATGCTGTGTGAAGGATGACGCAAACCCCACCGAAGACGAAGCATCCCACACAAAAAAAATGCTCTTAGGAGCTGGTGAAAGCCTCTGCTGAACGTAGTCACACATCGATGAAGCAATGAACGAGGAGGGGAGGGGGGTGGTCTCACACACACACACAACCCCGTTCAGCTATCCTAGTGAGGACCTTCATTGACATAATGCTTTCCCTAACCCTTACCCTAACCTAACCATAACCTAATTGTAACCCTGACACTAAAACCACATTTTGAGCCTCAAAAATGGCTTTAAATGCCTTTGTGAGGACCAGGTTGTGTGTTGGTTCTCACAAGTATAGTATAATGCAGTTTTCAGTCCTCACAAAGATAGCTAGACAGGAACACACACACACACACAAACAAACAAACATAACAGACTCTATATACAAATATCAGACTCTAGGCTATACTGCCTCAAAATAACATTGCAATATGATTTACTCATGCTGGGAACAGTAATGCATGTTATTGTATTACATAAATATAATGTGATTGCACTGCCCCAGCACTCAAAATGATATTGTACCTTGCAGTAAAAGTAAACCAATCATGAAAGTACTTCCAAAATCAAAATCAGTCCCTGATGACTCGCCCATATACCTTCCCTACCTAGAGACATCAAATGTTAGCGCCTGATTGGCCCAGGAGGAATTGCCCGATGGGGGATCACATGATTTACAGTTTCCTCTTTTTCTGTGTACTTGTTTGTGTTTCTAGTCTCCACCATGGCAAAAGCAGCAGCACGGGCAACCTTCTAGAGAGAGAAGACATGGCTCTCCCCGTCCCTGATTATGGCATCCACTCCCGTATGGCAGCACAGAGCGCTGCTGCGCTGCACGGCAGACAACAACGCCCCTACAGTGTGGCGGTGCCAGGCTTCTCACAGGTGGGGGGCCTGCAAAACAAGCACACAAACACATGCAAACTCGCATCCACCCACACGGGTTCACACATGACACACGAGCAGTCTCACGAAACCTGGCAAAGATCTCGTCTGTCTCAGAAAGTTCGGAGGTAGCTTTCCCCCTACGTGCTGGCAGCCGGAGATGCTTCGCTTTGACTCGCTCTCTCTTCGCTTACATAAACGCACAAATCAGCTCCGCCTCGCTTCACATTCCTGGTCACAGAGGGTCGAGTGGAAGATGAGGCACGGCTCAGATTGCAGAGGTCTACCGCTGTCGCTGAAGGAAGTGCTTCTGACAGGCATCAGCTGATAACAGAGTCGGCGTTCAGCCAGGCTAAAGAGAAGGCAGCTGTGATTATGGAGGCAGCTTAATTTTTCAGAAGGAAAAATCAAAAGTAGCCTTACGCAACGGTAAACTTCACTACTGGCCCACCTTCCCTCCTACGCCTCACCTGGAACATTACATGTGGGCGATGCCTAATTGCTCAGCAGTCATGTAACATCAAGGTTTGAAACATCTCTGCTGACATTTAAGGAAAAATGTGTTTCGTAATTTTGGTCAAGGATATGTATGCGTGGACGTTATTTGGTCATTCACTTCTGATTTGATCTTTAATAAAGCACAAAATGTTGTTTGTTTTATATGAACATAAAAATGGAAAATATGTTAAATATATTTTACACTGTTTCACTTTTAAGTCATCAACTTCAACCAGTCGGTGAAAGAATAATGAGATGATAACCAGGAGAGGGGCTGATGTATACTGTCGTGTATTTTCCTACTGTACAGTTTCTTTAACATCTCCAGGTTTCCTTTGATGATGCTGCATCTTCTTTGTGTTTCTTTGTCGCCACCTTCTGGCTGCTTTTGTCATTGCAACAGTTCACGAAGTTTCAGGCTCAACTAAACTCAACAAAAATTATTTGTTAACCAAAATAAAAAATTAAAAGCACATTTTGTAAAACGAAGTAAAATTTAAAAAGTAAAATATATATTTTTTTAAATTAATAATAAATATTATTAATTAATATTAATTTGCTCAATAAATAACAATTTATTTTTACAGATCTTTTACATTTGTGTCTTCTTGTATTTAATAAACAGTTGAAATTGTCTTTACCTTATTATCTTATTAGCTTATATTATCTAATCATACTGGTATGAGTGACAGTTAATGTGGTTTTCATGCTTTATTTCAGAGTTCATATTTAAAGCGCACAAACTAAACGTTTCTTTCTTCTTTGATTATGTCTTTGCAGCAGGGAGTCGAAGAGTACGAGCCCCGCTTCCCCACAAGGTAAGAACCCCTCAGCTTGATTCAGTCAGTGTGTTTTTTTTGTGTGTACCAGGAATCAGTTTCAACAAGTTCCAGTTCAGTCATTTCAAACGCGCTCGGCAGTGTTTGTGGGTGGGAAGCCAAAGTGGAATTCTGTCCCGTTGGCTCGAGGGCTGGAATCTGAGGCATCAGTGAGAGTTAGTTTACCAAACAGCTGAAGATGGAGAGATGAGGGATTGGGACAGATCCTGGTGCATGCCAAGTTCAGACCCGCAAACAGACAACCAGCAGGACACACCACACTCTTTGTGTTGTTTTTCTTAGTTCTCCTGTGTTTGCAGCAGCGTGATAGGAATCCATCTGTGATAAGATGGTGCAGTTCTGACCACATAGTGGTTTTAAAGAAGGCTGGCTTTATCTTTAAGTCATCCATTAGTAACAATTGTTTCTATCTGTGAAACTAGATTACATTAATCATCACTTAGTGCTGTTTTGTCAAAGCCGCCGTGTGGCTCGTCCATGCCCAGTGAGTCCTCTGGTGTTTAGGAGTGCTGCTGTTTTAACACAAACCATACTTTAGACACCTAAACCAAGTAGTTTTTAATGGCTAATCCCGACCCAGCAGCTTTTGGTGCCGAGTCAAAGTGAAAGTAAAAAAGTGGGGACTGTTACGCAGTCTCGATCTGGGCCCAAACGAGGATCCTTAACTGATAGATCTGCTTGTGGGCTCCAAAAAGCCAGAATTCCTGAGTCCAGAGGACATTGTGCATGAAATGGGGAGTCACAGGAGGCACCTGACAAAGTGGCAGTTAATTAGACCTCAGGAAGAGAAATAGCTGATTAATTTAAGTGTAAGTCGTTTTAAGTTTCCTTTTGTTCATTAAGTTAAGAAAGAAAATCATGCTTTGACTCCACGGCACCTTCCCATCACGCCACCGCCCCCCCACGCTCCATGCAGCTCCTTCTGTCTGCTAACCGCACTCACTCAATCCCTGCTCGTTAAAACCACGTCCACACTTTGCTTTAAAATCAGATCCAGTTAAACTTGTAGGTTGTACTCGTCATGTCGGAGGGTAGACGAGGTTTCTGCGTCTGCGTGTGTCCTGGTTGTGTGTTTGCTGTTGTTTCTCCTGAGCCAGCCCACCTGGAAGCCTCTCCCTCTCTGTGTCCACAGTTCCACAGAGGGCAAATTGATTTCGACAGTGTGAGGACAGACAGACAAACAGGCACAGACTCAGCCACACGATAGGACATGCACCTCGCTGCCCATCCGTCATCCTTAACCCACCCTCTTTCCCGCCTCCCTACCTCCTCCTCACGACAATAAACTCTCCCCGAGCCGGTCAGTTCGAGGAAGACGCTTGGGTCTCTTTCTTTTTCTCCCTCTGATCTCCCTCCCTTCGTCCTTCAGTCCTGCCCTGTGCTGTCTAACTGGCCAGTAGCCACACTGGGCGGCTGGTGGAGCTTTGGTGCAGAGCCAAGCCGAAACCAGAACAAAGTGGACTCTGTGCCATCCGCATATTCAAAATCAGTGTGATGGACATTTTCTGTGAGGAAAATGTAACCTTTGCTTGTCTTTCATGCATGTACATTTCTTTTATATATTGCTGGGAGTTATATTTTCCCAACGAAGGAAGCTGATTTTCACTAATGTTAGAAAGACAGTGTAAAGAATGATATGTAAATCAGGGTGTAATCCTAAAGTGGTTGATCCCAAAGAGGATTTTTATATTATGTAAAAATGACATTGCAATCAATGCTTTTACTGGATCTTTCAGTATTTAACAATAATTTTACCTTTTCATGCTGTGAGGTTTTGTATTCCTCTGACGTAAGAGGCCATGTATCGCGAGTAGTGAACAGCTCATGTAAATGTTTTCACACATGGGGGGAAAAATGTGACGGGAATGTTTACTGTACATAAATGTGCCATACAGACGTGCTTGTCATGCAGTATCTATGATCAGTTTATAAAAAATGCACCTTATGGAAGTAATAGTCTATATTTCTGACTGTGTGTAAACAAACTTACTGTAACGTTCCCAGTGTGAGCCTCTGCGCTCGGATGGACACAAACGCACCACTCTCGGGGTCCTTTGACTGTCTGTTGTGGTGCCTGAATATTGTGCCAAGGCTGAATGGGGTCAACTAAGTCACGCGAGGCTCTGAGTCGAGTTTAGTGCTGAAACCGTTTGTTCGTTAGTCAGTTAACTGATGTGTCGTGCCGATTAAATGTTTGAAATAACTTATCAGGCTTAAATGCCAAATATTTGTTGGCTTCGGGTTCTCAAATACACACATTTGCTGCTTTTCTCTGTTTTTTATATGACTGCAAATGAAATATATTTGGGTTTTGAGCTCATTTGAAGGATATCGTTTTGACATCACCGGTTAAAAAAGAAAGGATAAAGTCAGATTAATCGATTAATTGCTCATAAAAATGATTCGAGTTGGAGGCAAACTCTGGTTCGTGCATGAAAGAAAAGACAACTGGTATTGCGGCGCTGCTCGGTACACGTGATACTGAAACCATTAAAAAAGTTGTTTTTTATCATAAATAAAAAAATAGGCATAAAGTTCATTTAAAAGATTCAAAATCCTTTTCTACTTTCACAAATATTCACACGTGGTGCTTCTGCTGTCGGTTAACTTCTGTGATTAATGTCGTTTTATGGGAACTTCATAAAACCATCAGCGGTATTGTGATTAATAGAAAAAAAACGACACAGAGTGGTGATTATACTGTGCTGCATTTAGCCAAAGTGCAGACTGGAGGCACAGCCGCCTGCGGCTTTGAAGGGGAGAGGAATTCATTTGTGGTTGAAGCCTCATTCAGCCTTCTTCTTCTGCTGTCTCTGCGATTAAAAGCCCGATTCGTTTTTTTCTCCAAACCTCAGCGAGTAAAGAATGTCAAGTTTTAACAACGGCAAGAGATGTTTGTCTGATTCTTTGTGTGCTCAATAAAAATGCCGGTGTGCTTGTCTGTATGTCGGCCCAGTTAGTGCCTGTCTGTGCTAACCGCTGTCCCTTTGTTGACATCTGGTGTCCACGAGCTCGCTGGGACGTGACGTTTTTTTAACTCGTAGTTTTGGCTTCTGACTCGTGTGAAGTTTTTACAGAAATCTCGTCCGAGTGCTTTCTTCACCAAAGAGAGGAGGTTAAAAATGAAACTGTGCATCTCTCCCATTCCTCCTACACTGCAAAAAATGCTTTTACTAAATTGTTAATGAGGGAAATTGTTTGAAGAGTCTTGCAATATATTTTTCTGCAAGTATGTGATGAAGTCAGGCACATGCATTAAAAAAAAACATCTTTCAAGTGCTGAAAAATATTTTCCGACTCTGCCTGAGACCTAACACGGACCTTTTTTGCACTGTAGAAATGTTCTCCTGCTGCATATGTCTGTTGTCTCTGTGCTCTCTTCTTCTGCTCTCCGTTTGTCTGTCACCTAACACTTGTCTCCCCCCTTAGCTTTGCCAACCCCCCCGTCTTTTTTCATCTCTGTTTTGATGAATTTAGAGACAAAAGTCGAGTGCAAACGACTGGAAGCTGCCAGTGTTTCTTCTTTCTCCACTAAAATAGTCCAAGGTATGGCTGACATCGCTGCAGAGATAGCACACCAATCACCTGTGGCTAATAACGCCAGCATTCACTGACGTGCTCTGATTGTGAGAGGTTTTGTTGTAAGAAAAAACATCTAAATATTGTATAGAGAATTTATGTATATGCATGCTTTGGGGGCACCGAAAAGTGTAACACTGATGACCTCAAATGTATGGTGAATTTCTACTCTTACAAAGTATTAAATAAATTTATTCAGCTGGATCTTTTTATTGTTTCTGTTCGTTTTTTCCCCCGAAGGCTTTGGTGTGACACGATGAAACTTTTACAAAACACCATTTGAAGAAGCTTTTAATTAGCCTTCAAGTGCCAAACTAGCTCGTAAAGCCAATTTTCATTAACAGGCAGCGTTTCAACTCTCGATTCTTTCTTTAAGTTTGTGCTGACTGAACTTTAGTCACCACATCTTTCCTCACAGCTAACAAACTGGGGATCGCCCTCTTGCTTTAACACATTAACAAGCGGCTCTTCTTGCACATATCACCGCTCTTATCAACATTTCTGGAACCGAGACCCATCATAACCTCCCACCGGGCTTGTTGCATGTACAGTGTGTGTGTTCTGTGCACAGTAGTACTTACACTGCATCCTGACCTGCTATACACACCCACTGGCCTGCTCCTCCTGCTGCTAGCAAAGGTACTTTTTTCAACTCAACTGTGTGTGTGTGTGTGTGTCTGTTTGTGTATTGCGATCAACACAACGTGTTCATTTTTAGTGTTTTTTAATTTTTGTAGTTGTTTTGCTTCACTGTGTGGTGGGTTCACATGCCTGTTTGCCTGTTTTTTAATTTAATCTTTATTTTCCCCCCATGTGACACGTGAATGTGGTCATAATTTAAATGTAAACAGTCTCGGTGAATTTGTGGAGTTCTGATCTGTTTTTTGTCATGTTTTAATTTAATCTAAGTAGATGATGACAATAATTTTGGCTAATTTAGTAATATTAAACAGGATCTTTACTGAGTTTGACTGGCAGCCTCTGCAGGGATGATCTGATATCGTCGTGTTGGTGTTGTTCCCAGATCATCATGAAAATGTTGTTCCAGGTTCAACATTGCAAGTGACCAATCACATTATTGTGACGTTATTCTTTTGCGCACCAACCCATTC